TACGAAAGATTGTGCTGTTATATATCAGAGTGGATGGTGGTTTAATAAGTGCATCGAAAGGTAAGACATAACATATTACACAATAATATATGGTTGTTGTTAAAATTTATTTTTTTTTTAAATATAGCAATTTAAATGGTGTTTATGATGCAGTAACGGAAGGTATTGTTTGGAATAAATGGCATGGCTTTTCTAGTTTATACAAATCTGTGAATATGGCTATACGTCCCGTAAGAACTTAAATAATTGCGAAAATATAAAACAAGTATATATTTTATATAATAATAATAAAGTTTTCAATAAAGTTGAAGACATTTTGTACTAATTTTATTTTATATTCAAATGGTTATAAATTTTTCTGTTGAATTCTGCAAAATCGTATTAATTGTTATTTAATTGAATTTTTCGTGTCCCAGAACAAGAAAAGATTATATCATCAAGCAATGTCAGCTAGATAAGCAATTAAATAGAAAAGCACAGGTACGAGTAAATTGCTTCAAAAAAATGCAATTGTTGTGAAAAAGATGTCAAAAATCTGTGCGGTAGATCCAAGCAAAACTAAGTCAAAAGAGCAACGAGAATAAGTAGAATTCCAAAAGGAAAAGGTGAAACTATGAATGGTTAAATGAAAAACTTTTATCTAAAATATCGCAAAAATTAAAAAAAATAAACAATATATATATATACATATATACTGTATATATAACGTAACCCAAAAATGCCTCAAGCAAAAGTTCAGTAATTAAAACTGTCATGGTTGCAAAATGATTCAACAATGTAACTGCATCAAACAATGGACACAATTTGGCATGGTCCCCCTTAAATGCTACGAGTGGCCATGGTCGAATTTTTTTTTCTAGTAGTAGTAATTGCAATTATTGTTGTGCAACTGGAAGTGGAAGAGTACTTGTCGAAGATGGCAGTGTAGAGCGGCAAAAAAATAAAATGTCCAAACGAATTAGTTTCCCTTTTGGTTATTATATACTTTTCTTTTTTTTTGCACTACCCCCTGTATTATATATTTTTCTTTTTACCAGTAGCTGACATTTTGTTTCAAAACCACAATCCACTCAGTTGACACAATCGATGCGTTAAGTTCAGAACACTTCTGTTCCGGAACGGAATATGGGTCACTTTGTATATAGCCTGAAATGCATTTAGGTTGTTTTTACTTTTTGAAGAGCTATGAATTTTTGAAGGTATTTTGAATATTTAAATGGCGAAATTAATTTAGAAAATAGTGCCTTTTTTGTAATCAAAGGAAACAGTTAAATAATTGTGAGCAATACAAAGTATTATTAATAAATTTATTTTAAGAAAAATTAAAAAATGTTGGGTATATAAAAAATATATTAAATAGAAATTATTGTGGGAGAATTAATTTTTTTGTTACAAATATAATTAAATAAAATTTTAAATGTTAGTTTAAAAAATATTTTAATCAAGAAAGATGAATTTTTCACATTGAGCATCCATGTCTTCTGGTGGTTTGTATACAGAAAGTATAATATACAATACTTTGTGCTAACACACGGGTCCAGAGTTCACACCTTAGTCCGTTTATAAAAAGAAGAAAGGTATAACACACTTTGGACTAAATGTCATTGACTTTTTATGAATAATTTGATCTTTTTACGATTAAAAGAGGTTTCCTGACCTAATGTCATCCAAAATTTATAAACGAAAAATGAAAACAACAGATTCTTCCACTGACCACTAAAAGACAAATTTTAAAAGCTATTAGTTTATTTTTTATTGATGATGTTTTAAAAATAAGCTAAAGAGATTATTTAGTTCCAATATTTAATATACATATATGTTTAATTAGTATCCTACATTTTCTCATTGCAACCGCCTTACTTAAAGCTTTAAGGAAAGAAGAGAGAGAAAATATAAATGACAACAGCCTGACATATAAATTGTTAGAAGTTTATAGTTTAGGTAAGCACAACAGGAGTATTCCCTCTGTCTTGCAAAGTCATTGCAATGTACACGAGATACAAAAATACTGCACTAAAATTGCAAGAATGCAAGGTCAAAATGAAACAGCTGTTTTTGCAGCATACCAGATGCACATGAGAAGCAAGAGATATCAAAACAGCTGTTTTTTTCTAACAACACCACAATAATCTGAAAATTTGTAGTGGGAGGATTTATGTAGTTCTACAGAGAGAACTCCACTGTCTATACCAGTACTTGTTTAAGATCCGTCAGTAAAAATGCTTAAAGCATGCTTGCCAAGAAAACACATATCTTTCATATACAGATTTTTTAAAAAGATTTGAACTGTGTGCCAAAAAAGTTTGGTGATTATATGGCTGAGACGAACGGGGCTCAGATCTTCTTGGCATAATCTTCGTCATATTTTAGAAAGTGGTATGGTGTGGGTAACTGGTGTCTTACAAATATTAGACATCTCGCTTGAGTAAAGGAATCAACTCGACTTCAGTTGAGATTTTTGATAACATTATAGTTCAGTGTGCTGTTAGACGAAGTAAGATCTGCAAGCTAATACTTTATCTTAGAATCATTTTCTATTATGTACACTATTTGTCACAACAGTGGGTATTACACTTATATCAAGCTTTGGTATAAGTACTCAAGTGCTTGAGTATTGATATCCATTAAGGAGTTAAATTTAAGTTTGGGTGATATTGGGTTACGTGACATAGAGCCTACAGAAATGTGGTAGGTAATAGAGGTTATCAATAATACCGATTATAGAAACACAAATTTATATAAAAATTTGTATCTGAGTTTGATATTTTTTTACAATTATTATAATTGTTGTTGTTTCACGTTGCAAATGCAGAAGCGAATATTTATGCAATTGCTGAATAGTTTTAAAAACTTTTGAATTGATGCAGAATGAGTTTCGAGTGGTTTTAAAGCGGTTGAGTTTGGTCATCAACAGTTGGAAAAGTCCAACTCTAGTAGTTAGAAACCGCATAAAGTTTTTTGGGATTAAATTACAAACAAATCAAAAAAAAAATTTTAGAAAGTAAAGAAAATAGAAAAAGATTGCTATATTTTAAATTAAATTAAAATTGAGTACTCAGTTTTGAGTTCACAGTTTTTATTGACGATAATGAATAATTCCGAATGATTGATATTTTAAATCATTAAAGTTTGGTTGCAATAAAAACTATTCATGTCTAGAGTAGAATATAGAAACATATGATTACTGAAGACTTTCATTTAAAAAACTATATAATCTTTAAAATATCCTATTTAAAAGCAGTATGCTGTATACATTATATATTTAGTATTTAATAAAATACAAATTTAATAACATTTTTCCTTAAGCATAATTTTTTTTGATATTAAGTCGAACTTTTAACATATGATGAAAGTAAAGTCCTTGCCAAAGTTCCAGATACGTTAAATTGTAAAAGTCAATAGCATTATGTGTCAATAGCATTACGAGTAACTGCATATATCTATGTATGTTACATATTGATATATATGAATGTATATCTAAAATTTTATATAAATGGATGAAATGAAAGTAACTCAGCAAATGCGTCAACTTTTGAATTAAGTTTTGTTGTTTAGTGAAACTAGAAAAAAGCTGAACTTTTAACTTCGAATGTATCTCGAGTTTCGATACATTTAGAGTCGAGGAAAATGCGACACATTGCAGTAAAACATGACAGGTGTGTGTCGTTCCAAATGTGATTGACAAGTTACAAAGCGATAAAGTTTTCATGGAAAATAAGTTTTATAATTTACACATGGAGCTAGTCTGTTAGTAGAAAAGTTTTAGTAGAATTGCTTTAAAATCTTGACTTTCAATTTAATTCAACGTAAATCTCATAAATTCGAATCTTTAGTTTGTAGCAATAAAGTTTTAAAATTAAAATTTCTGCACTTAGAAAATTAATCCATTTATTATTTAATTAATCTTAGATTGGTTTAACCTTCTTAGTTTTGATACATATACTATTATCCCAATGAATTACTAGTATAACTCCTAGATAACTCCTGTAAACATGAAATCAGTCTAGAAAATAGTTTCTTCAATACGTTTAAAATAATCTTTAATATTCCGCAGAAAGAGAGTAAGTAGTAGAGTAGAATAGAGCAGATAGAGTAAAAGCATAGAGAAGAAAAAGAACAAAAAGAAAGAAGAGTAGAGCGAAAGAGAGGCGAAGAAAGGAAAGCGGATGAAAAATGAACTGAATGACATTGTTTTTTAATAGAAAAGCTCTAGTTATAAGAAATAACTTATTTTCGAATTTAATGATGATTAAATCTATGCATTTCTATCCTATTATGACTTCTGAATAATACATTGTAATACAAATTTTTTTTAAACTGATTATATGATCATGCTTTCTTATTAATACTTAGCTTGTCTTTAAGTAGGAATCTGCAAGATCGTACAACAATAAAATATGCTCTTCTTCTCTCTCTTACGTATTTTGTTCAATAAAGTTACTTATATAGTATTATCAAACTGTGTACTTTTTCTTTGTGATCAAAACTCCAGGTTCTGAAGCTTAGTCAGGGCCTCATAACCATATGTTATGGTTACAAAACCATGCCCTCAGTATATTGCTCAATGCCAAAACCTGGACAACAGTGGTTGCTAGCCCTCAGTGGTGGCTATTTTGAACTGAATATATGATGTTTTGTTATTGATATGCATCTTTCCTTTTAGTAGATATTTGAAAGATCGTTCCATAATAATACATGTACTTCTTCCACTTTTACTTATTATTTCCAATTAATTTTCTTATCTGCAGTGGCCTAGTTATAAAAGTAGCCTTAGTTTTGTCCACGTCCGGATTTATTTGAATGTAATAAATTTAA